AACCAGTTCGTTTCAGCTCAGTAATGCCTGGGATATCAATCTTTATGTGTTCCATTCCATTTTTGACAACTTCCAGTTTTCCTAGATTCATGTTTCATACATTCCATATTCTGATTATTAATGGGTGTTTGCAGCTGTTTCTCCTCAATTTGAGTCGTGCCATGTCAGCAATTAGAGGTCTCGAAAGCTTTACCTTATCCATTATCAGTATGGCTGGTTTTACTCTGATGATGCAGATCTTTCCCAGTCGTGTTTTGAGAGCCTTCTAACCTAAGTGACTCATCCTCCTCATCTGTATTGGGCAATGTTTCTGGACTATTCATAAAGTTGTGCAGTAATATCAGACAGTGTTTCTCTGCTATTCATATGGTTTTCCCTAGCCAGTTCTTTGAGAAGTGGATGGTCTCTTCCTCCTTCCTAGTCTGTCTCAGTCTGCAAGCCACACTGAAACCGCTGGGTTTGAAACACCTGACTGAGCCTCAAGACTCACAGCAACACGTTTGAAACACCTGGCTGAGCCTCAAGACTCACAGCAACACGTCACTGCAGTCAGACAAACTGACAGACATGTTTGTCTCCCTTAGCTGTTTGAAACCTCTCCAACCTCCCCTTACTTGGTCCCTGTTGCTGCCTCCTCATTCTGTCCTGGCTCCCCTTGCCTTTTTCCTCACCTTTCACTCTGCTTTCCTGCCTTAACGCTTTTGTGGCATGGCCTGGTTCCCTCTGCTCACCTTATCCCTGTGGCTGACTCCTCACTCTGTCCCGGTGCCCCTGGCCTTTTTCTCTCCTTTCCCTTGCTTTCCCACCTTGCTGCTTGTGGGGCGTGGCCTGGGTTCCCTCCCCTTACCTGGATCCCACTACTGACTCCCCGCTTTGTCCCGATCCCCTGCCCTTTTTCTCTCCTTTCCCCCCATTTTGGCCTTGCTGCTTTGGGGCATGCCCTGGGTTGCCTCCCCGCCCCTAGATCCCTGTGGCTGATTCCTGTTGTACACAGTATAACATGAATCAGAACTGACTCCTTTGGCACCTAACCACATATGCTATTTTGTTTATCCATTAATTTGTTGGTATTATTTCCACCTTTTCGCTGTTGTGCATAGTGATATATTACTGGAAAATTTTATGAATAGTACGAGCACATTGTCCACTACTGTGCAAGATGATGAGCCCCTCAGGTTGGAAGGCACTCAAAATATGACTGGGAAAGAGCTGTCTCCTCAGAGTAGAGCTGACCTTAATGATGTGGGTAGAATAAAGCTTTCAGGACATCCATTTGCTGAGATGACATGACTCAAAGTGAGAAGAAACAGCTGCAAACAGCCATTAATAATCGGAACAAGGAGTGTATGACATACGAATCTGGGAAAATTGGAAGTTGTCAGAAATGAAATGGAGCGCATAAAGATCTATATCCTAGGCATTAATGAGCTGAAATGGACCAGTTTTGGCCATTTTGAATCAGACAACCATGTGATTTACTATACCAAGAATGACAAATTGAAGAGGAATGGTGTGGCATTCATTATCACAAAGGATGTTCAAGATCTGCCCTGAAGTACAATGCTCTCAGTGATAGGATAATATCCATATGCCTACAAGGAAGGCCAGTTAATGATACTACTATTTGAATTTACGTACCAATCACCAAAGCCAAAGATAAGGAAATTGAAGATTTTTACCAACTTCTGCAGTCTGAAATTGACTGAATGTGCAATCAAGATGTGTTGCTTATCACTGGTGATTGGAATACAAAAGTTGGAAACAAAAGAAAATCATTGGTAGTTGGAAAATATGGCCTTGCTGATAGAAAGAAAGCTGGAGATAGCATGATAGAATTTTGCAGGACCAACGACTTACTCATTGCAAATACCTTTTTTCAACAACACAAATGGTGACTATACATGTTGACTTCACCAGATGGAGTACACAGGAATCAGATTGACTACATCTTTGGCAAAAGGTGATGGAGACACTCAATATCTTCAGCCAAAACAAGGCCGGAAGCTGATTGTGGAACAGACCATCAACTGCTCATGAGCAAGTTCAAGTTGAAGCTGAAAACATTTTTAAAAAGCCCATGAGAGCCAAAATATGACCTTGATTATATGCCTCCTGAATTTAGAGACCATCTAAAGAATAGATTAGATGCATTGAACACTAGTGACTGAAAACCAGAGGAATTGTGGGATGACATCAAGAACATCATCCATGAAGAAAGTAAAAGATCATTAAAAAGACAGGAAAGGAAGAAAAGACCAAAATGGATGGCAGAAGAGTTTCTGAAACTTGCCCTTGAGTGGAGAGTAGCTAAAGCAAATAGAAGAAATAACAAGATAAAAGAGCTGAACAGAAGATTTCAAAGAGCAGCTCGAGAAGACAAAGTCAGTTATTTTAATGAAATGTGCAAAGACCTGGTGTTAGAAAACCAAAAGGGAAGATCACACTCAGCGTTTCTCAAGGTGAAAGAACTGAAGAAAAAACTTAAGTCTTGAGATGCAACATTGAAAGGTTCTATGAGCAGTGTATTGAATGATGCAGGAAACATCAAAAGAAGATGGAAGGAATGTACAAATTCACTGTACCAAAAAGAATTGGTTCATGTTCATCCATTTCAGAAGGTGGCATATGATCAAGAACCGATGGTACTGAAGGAAGAAGTCAAAGCTGTACTGAAGGAATTGGTGAAGAACAAGGCCAGGAATTGACAGAATACCTATTGAGATGTTTCAACAAACAGATGCCACACTGGAGGCACTCACTTGGCTATGCCAAGGAATTTGGAAGACAGCTACCTGGCCAACTGACTGGAAGAGATTCATATATGTCCCCATTCTAAAGAAAGGTGATCCCACAGAATGTGGAAATTATCAACAATATCATTAATATCGCATGCAAATAAAATTTTACTGAAGATAATTCAAAAACGGTTGCAGCAGTATATTGATAGAGAACTTCCAGAAATGCAAGTTGGATTCAGAAGAGGACTTGGAATGAGAGATATCATTGCTGATGTCAGATAGATCTTGGCTGTAAGCAAAGAATACCAGAAAGATGTTTACGTATGTTTTATTGGCTATGCAAAAGCATTAGATTGTGTGCATCATAACAAATTACAGGTAACAGTGAGAAGAATGGGAATTTCTGAACACTTAATTGTGCTCATGAGAAACCTGTACATAGATCAGGAGGGTGGGTGTCTTTCAAGCAGAACAAGAGGATACTCTGTGGTTTAAAATCAGGAAGGGAGTGCATCCAGGTTGTATCCTTTGACCACACTTATTCAATCTGTATGCTGAGCAAATGATCTGAGAAGCTGGACTATATGAAGAATGTGGCATCAGGATTAGAGGAAGGCTCATTAACAACTTGAGATATGCAGATGACACAGCTTTGCTTGCTGAAAGTGGGGATGATTTAGAGCCCTTACAGATGAAGATTAAAGACTACAGTGTACAGTATGGATTACACCTCAATATAAAGAAAACAAAAATCCTCACAACTGGACCAATAAGCAGCCTCATGATAAATGGAGAGAAGACTGAAGTTGTGAACTTGGTTGTATAATCAACACCAATGGAAGCAGCAGTCAAGACATCACATGGCATACTGCAGTGGGCAAATCTGGTTCAAAAGACCTTTTTTAAATGCTGAAGAGCAAAGACATCTCCTTGAAGTCTAAGGTGTGCCTAACCCAAGCCATGGTATTTTCAGTCACCTCATATGCATGTGAGAGCTGGACAGTGAATAAGGAAGACTGAAGAAAAGTTGATGCTTTTCATTTGTGGTGCTGATGAAGAATACTGAAAGTACCATGAACTCTCAAAAGAACTAACAAATCTGTCCTGGAAGAAGTGCACCTGGAATGTTCCTTGGAAGAGAGAATGGCCAGACCTCATCTCATCTGCTTTAGTCATATTGTAATAAAGGACCATTCCCTGGAGAAGGATATCATGCTTGGTAAAGTGGACGGTCAATGAAAAAGGGAAAGGCCCTCAACAAGATGGATTGTCACAGTGGCTACAGTGATGGGCTCAGAAATAGCAAAGATTGTGGAGCTGACACAGGACTGGGGAGTGTTTCCTTCTATTGTATGGGGGGTTGCTATGAGTCAGAGACAACTCAATGGCATCTAAGAACAGCAATTCAATCCATAACGTTATAAGTGTTAGCTCTTTGTTTTTTTTTTTTTTTAAACAGGTTTTATGTATGTCAACTTTAGTAGATATTGCTAGTCAGTTTTCTAAAAGTACTTGTATTAGTTTACCTTTTTATAGCATTGTGTGAAACTTTCAGATGCTCTACCGCCTTGCAGTTTGAATTTACTTGGTAATTTCTTAATGCCTAGTATGATTCAGTATCTTTTCATGTTTGTTCTTTTGTGAAGTTCCTGTTCAAGACTTTTTCCATTTTTTCTATTCAATTATCATTCTTTATCTTATTGCTTTGTAGGAGGTTAATTACATATTCCAGATCTGTGTTGTTTATTCGTTACATGTATTCCCAACATCATCTTTCACTTAATGGTTTAATCTTTACACTCTCTTGTTCTACCATTCACATTTAGGTCTTCAATAAACATGAAATTAATTTTGTGAATAATGTGATATAGGGGGTCAAGAGTTACTTATGCTGTAAAGAAGGTTATTCCAGGTTGATATGTTTTCCCAAGTGGTACATTTGTATTCAAGATGAAGTTTTGGAGAGTGTTCTATAATACGATACATTGAGAGAGCATGAATATAAAGAAAAAACTTGGAAGAAAAAAAATTCATTTTATCTTCAGGTGTATATGGTAGATCCAAGGCAGTACTAGATCAGTATGGAAGATATATTAGGGGTAAATAACTGGTATAAGATAACTATGATAAGTGTGAAGAGGTCTATAAACATAATAAAGAACCCAGAAAAAATACAGTTTTAAATTCACTTTACATGGATTTTTATTTTTAGGGAAACTACTAAATTTTTTCAAGACCTGGAGGTGAATGTAATGGTAAATAATGGCAACAGGTGACTTAAAAAGAAGCTTACGGAATCTAGAACAAGTACTTCGCTCACTAAATTATCCTAAAGAGGTGGATTGTGTAGGGTAAGCTATAATTTCCAACTTATTTGTATTTTAGATAATGATTTGAGATAATATTAGACATAGGATGGCAGTGTCTACAAAGATACCAATTTATTCCTATGCTCTCAAAGCTGGAAATGATGAAAATATTTAGAAATTCAGGGATTATAGGACTTTGTTTCTTGGTTAAGTATGAATTAAAGAAAAATTCAACTCAAGATTTAAAACACCTTTCATAAGCACAGTCTGTTGGGTATGGCTGCTATATGACTTTTATACTTGTAAAAGTATAGTGGATTTCATTAATTGTATATGTAATCTACCACCCGCTCATGTTGAGTTAAATGAATATAGAGTAGAGTATACAGTCGTTTCTTGTCAGCCTGCTTTTTAAAAACTTTTAATTTTTGTGGGGGAGGACAGGTTTTATACATATAATCTATGTTTTCTTTTGGATATGGACGATTATAGTCAATATACTCCTTGGGGTACCCGATGCCATGCTTGAAGATTATTATTACTCAGTGGCAGCAGTGGCTATCAGAGCTGGAGAGGGACTGGGCAGAGCTGCCATAGAGGGTCAGGACTGGCTGCCAGTAGAGGCTAATCATGAGGTCACTCACCAATTTTCATGCTACCACATGTCTCTCTGTCATACTGGGTGGCTTGTGTGTTGCTGTGATGCTGGTATTTCAAATACCAGCAGGGTCACCTGTGGTGGATAGGTTTTAGTGGAGCTTCTAGGCTAAGACAGACTATAAAGAAGGACCTGGAGATCTACTCCTGAAAAACTTGGCCAGTAAAAACCTTATGAATAGCAGTGGAATATTGTCTGATATACTACCAAAGGGTAAGCCCCTCAGGTTTGAAGGCACTCATGACTAGGGAAGAACTGTCTTCAAAGTAGAGTCAACCTTAATGATATGGATGGAGTACAGCTTTCAGAACTCTCATTTGCTGATGTCACACAACTCAAAATGAGAGGAAACAGTTGAAAAAAATCCATTAATAATCAGAATGTGGAATGTATGTGCTTAAGGGGCACAGAGGTGGCATCTTCTGACCTCCTCTAACTCCACAAGAGGAAGACAGAATCACCACCAGCAGCCCAAGGCATGCTGCCATCCTCCAGCCCTCTTACCAACCTTGACACCAACTGTCTCTCTTGCAGCACCCAGCACCTCTCTGCTGGGTTCAGTAATTCGCTGCAGTGGCCACACAGAACTCAAAGATTATGGGGTTTATTAGGGAAGCAACAGGCTACAAATAAAGTTCAGGAACATGCTCAGGATACAGTTCTTCAATCAGGACAGTCTCCCCTCTGCTGTTTCCTTAGACACGCCTCTCTGGCCCTTGGCCTCTTGGCCTGGCCTCTGCCTCTGTGGGCCAGGTAGGCCTGCTGCTCTGTCTCAATGCCTCTTAATTCCACTTTCACCATTTCTCAGCTGCGCATCTCTCTCAGCAGTGTGTCTCTCTCAGTGGTACATCTCTCTCTCAGCAGCCTATCTTTCTCAGCCAGCAGTGAGATATTCTTTTCTGCCTCTAGAAGGCCTCATTTTAAGCCTGGCAGACTGGCAAAAAAAAAAAACCAAACCCAGCATCAGGATTCTATACACCTGACAGAGAGAGAGAGAGAGAGAGAGAGAGAGAGGGAGCTTCCTGGAAGATTACTTCATGCTGCTCCAACAGAAATAGCCCAGGTGGATAACTTTAATAATCAGGAGTTTAAATTATATGGTCCCACCCAGTAATCCAGTGGGAGTTACAAAGACTATGGCTAGAAAAGCTGTACCATGTAATTTACTACACTGCAGTATGAGATATGAATCTAGGAAAATTAGAAGTTGTCAGAAAGGTAATGGAACACTTTAAGATAGATATTCTAGGCATTAGGGAGCTGAAATGGACTGATTTTGGCCTTTTTAAATTATACAATCATAAGGTTGACTATGCTGGGAATGACAAATTGAAGAGGAACAGCATTGCATTCATTGTGAAAAAGAGCATTTCAGGATCTGTATCCTGAAGTACAATGCTGTCAGTGATAGGATAATATCAGTACACCTACAAAGAAGACCAGTTGATATGACTGTTGTTCAAATTTATGCACCTACCATTAAAGCCAAAGATGAAATTAAAGATTTTTTTTTTTTTTTTACCAACTTCAGCAGGCTGAAATTGATCAAACATATAATCAAGATGTATTGATAATTACTGTTGTTTGGCATGTGAAAGTTGGAAATGAAGAAGGATCAGTAGCTGGAAAATATGGTCATAGAGATGACACTGGAAGTTGCGTGATAGGATTTTGCAAGACCAAACACATATTTATTGGAAATAGCTATTTCAGCAACACATAGTGACTATACACGTGGACCTCTCCAGCTAGAGTACACAGGAATCAAATCTACTACATTTGTAGAAAAAGACAATGGAGAGACTCAGTATCATCAATCAGAACAAGGCATACGCTGACTGTGAAAAGACCATGTATTGCTCATATAAAATTTCAAGTTGAAGCTGAAGAAAACTAATGTCCACAAGCCAAAGTATGACCTTGATTATATTGTACTTGAATTTAGAGACAATCTTAACAGTTTGATACATTGAACATTAATGACTGAAGACAAGACAAATTTTGTGTTGACATCAAGAACATCATATATGAAGAAAGCAAAAGATCATTAAGAAGAAAAGAAAAACAAGACCAAAATGGACATTAGATAATACATGAAACTTGCTTTTAAATGTAGAATAACTAAAGTGAATAGAAGAATTCATGAAGTAAAAGAGCTGAATAGAAGATTTCAAAGTGTGTATTGAGAAAACATTTAATTATTATAGTAAATGTGCAAAGACCTGGAGTTAGAAAACAAAAAGGGAAGAACATGATTGGGATTTCTCAAGCTGAATGAACTGAAGAAAAAATTCAAGCATTAAGATGCAACATTGTAGAGATCTATGGGCAAAATATTAAATGATGGGGGGAGCATCAAAACAACATGGGAAGAATACACAGAGTCACTGTACCAGAAAGAATTGGTGGACATTCAGCCATTTCAGGAGGAAGTATACGATCAAGAACCAATGGTATTGAAGGAAGAAGTCCAAACTGCTCTGAAGATGTTAGTGAAAAACAAGACTCCAGGAATTGACAGAATACCAACTGAGATGTTTTAGCAAATGGATGCAACACTGGAAGTGCTTGCTAATCTATGCCAAGAAATTTGGAAGACAGGTACCTGGCCAACTGACTGGAAGAGATCTATATTTATGCCCATCTCAAGGAAAAGTGATCTAGTAGAATGTTGAAATTATTGAATAATAGCATTAATATTGAATAATATTGAATAATAGCATGTAAGTAAAAATTTACTGGAAATTTTTAAAAAATAATTGTAGCAGTTCATAGACAGGAAACTTACTGAAATTCAAGCTGGCTTCAGAAGAGAATGTGGAATGAGGTATATTATTGCTGATGTCACATGAATCATGGCTGAAAGCAGAGGATATATTCTGTTGACTATGCAGAGGACTTTGACTATGTGGATCACAACAAATTATGGATAACATTGTAAAGAATGAGAATTCCAGAATACTTAATTGTGCTCACGAGGAAACTATGTAGACCGAGAGTCAGTCATTTGAACAGAACAAGAAGATATTGCAAGTTTTAAAATTGGGAAGGTTGTACCTCAGGTTGTATACTTTCCCCATATTTGTTCAGTCTGTATGCTGAGCATATAATTGAAGAATCTGATGTATATGAAGAACTCAGCATCAAGTTTGGAGGATAATTCATTAACAACCTGTTGCATGCATATGACACAGCCTTGCTTGCTGCAAGTGAGGAAGTCTTGAAGCATTTACTGATGAAAATCAAAGACTACAACATTCAGTGTGGATTACCCCTCAACATAAAGAAAACAAAAATCCTCACAACTGGACTAATAAGCAACATCCTTGTAAATGGAGAAAAAATTGAAATTGTCAAGGATTTCGTTTTACTTGGATCCATAGTCAACCCCCATGGAAGAAGCAGTCAAGAAATCAAATGACCTTTGGGCAAGTCTGCTGAAAAAGACCTCTTTAAAGTGTTAAAGAGCAAAGATGTCACTGAGGAATGCGGCCCACTGGACCCTAGCCGTGGTATTTTCAGTCACCTCATATGCATATGGTAGTGGGACAGTGAATAGGGCAGATCAAAGAAGAATTGATGGTTTTGAATTATGGTGGTGATGAAAAATATTTAATATACCATGGACTTCCAGAAGAATGAACAAATTTGTTTTGAAGTGTAGCTTGAATGCTACACTTCAACGAGAAGATGGTACGACTTCTCCTCTTGTACTTTGGTTTTCTTGTCAGGAGGGATGAGTTCCTGGAGGAGGATATCATGCTTGGTAAAGTGCAGGGTCAATGAAAAAGAGGAAGACCCTCAATGAGATGGTTTGACATGGTGTCTGCAACAATGGCATCAAGCATAGTAACAGTTGTGAGGAAGGTACAGGAACTGGCAGTGTTTTCTTCTTTTGTACATAAAGTCACTATGAGTTGGAACCAACTTGATGGCACCTAAAAACAGCAAGAACATTCTTTGGAGAAAGATATCATGGTTGGTAGAGTAGAGAGTCAATGAAAAAGAAAGAGACCCTCAACAAAATAGATTGTCACAGTGGCTACAGAGAGGGCTCAGACATAGCAATGATTTTGAGGATGGTGCATGACTGAGTTGTGTTTCATTCTGTTGTATGTAGAGTCACTATGAGTCAGAGCTAATTCAGTAGCACCTAACAATAACATCCCATTTAACAGACCTCACTTTTTTTAAAAATACATTTTATTGTAGTTTTGGTTAAAGTATACACAATAGAACAAGGTCCTATTCAATAATTTCTGCACATAATGTTCAGTAACATAGGTTACATTCTTTACGTCGTGTCAACCCTGTCCCTGTTTCCATACTGGTTGTACCATTTCCATTAACTTAATCTCATTGTCTCCCAACATTCTCTTCTATC